GGAAAAAGGTCCAGACACTATAAGACAGTTTCCGCTCAATAACTTACGTATTAGTAAAATTTTATAGGATGAACAGCCTAAAGATGACCCCTATTGATTTTAGGGTCATAATGTCAAAGGTCAGGGTCACAATGATTTTTTCACTGAAAATTGTGGTTTCTGAAGCATAACTTAAGTTCCGTTTGGTTATGTTAGGCTCAAACGGTCAAACGTCAATACCAAATGACCTTAATATTGGTAACAGTTTTACAACTGTCAAACTTCATAGGATGATCACTTATATTGAGAACATTAATTATATGACCTAGAAAATTTGCTTATATTATGTTATACCCGTGGCGTCTTTCCGTCCATCCGTCAGAGCATTTTTACTTAGAAGATAACAACTTGATGGTGGTGCTTTGGAAACAGCAACTGTATATATATATATGAAAGTTCTTCAGTGCTTTTTGAAGGAGGTAATAGTTTATTTAATTACCATGTCTTACAAATGATTCATCCTTACTAAAAGAAAAACACTTTCGGGCATATAATACTCCGCCAAGTGGTGCTCTTGTTGACAATTACATTAACAAAACTTATAAGTAAGTATTAGTATTTAATTTAGAATTAACAAAGCCTGATTGACTAGTATACTGTTAAATGAAATTAATAGTCTTTACATTTATTGTCTTAAAGGTGGTACAGTAGATATAACAGTGCATGAAATTTCCTCAAATGGTAGTCTCAGAGAAATCTACAAAGCTAGTGGCGGTGATTGGGGTGGAACTAAAGTTGACCAAGCCTTTGAAAATTTCTTAATCGAAATTACAGGTATTATAATTTAATATGAAGCTGTGTTTGATATTTTCAAAAGAAAAAAGGTAGAATGAGATACGGTAAAACCCCCTATTGAAACCAACATTTGGTCTGAAAGGGATTCCACTGCAGTTTTTCTTTACATGACTGGACTAGAAACGATAATACTTTCGAGATAAATATTTACATTTAATGAAGGTCTAAACCACCAACTTGTGTTCAAAATTTCAGATCATTTGCTAACTCGTTTCTTTTCATAATAGTTATTCTGATTTTGAGAAAATACTCACAATTGAAAAACAATGTATTGTTTTTCATTGAAATCGGGCCAAGAATAGCAAAAACATACGATTTTCAATTTATTTCAAATTATATTTTGTAATATTTTTTTCCTTATCTTTCTGTTTCAAGTGCGCCTGCTGATCTATGTAAAAATATCAAATTTTGTTGTTTTAGGCTTTCGATTCTCAGTGGAGTTCTTTTCAGCAAAGTTGTCTTAATTGCAGGATGGCCTCAAAAGTGGATGTCATTGGTCTTGTTTTATATCAAATTGTGTACATATTCAATTATCAAAAATAACCAAATAAACTAGCAAAATAAACATTAAACAGCTCTGATACTGAGTTTTTACTTACTATTACTGCATACAAAAAGAAAGGAAACAATTGTTTGATCAAGTGCCATTCTTTTAAGCATTCAAGCCTCTAATAACAGCATTCTGATGGCCAAAATGGATGCTTATTGCATTATCAGTAGAAATTGGGTCAAATAAAAAGTAAACAAAGAATAGAGACTTAAAATAATGGTCTTAATAGTGAATAAGCGTGTTGGTCTTAGCTGTAACCATTTAAATAAAGAGCAAAATGTCTTTTCTTTAAAACTGGTGCAGCGTCTGTGGCCAGGTAGCAAAGGTTATTGACTCTAAACCACCTGCTCTTCACCGGTGTAAGTTTGAATCTTGCCAGAGATTTTGACTTCTTTTATGTGGTTCTACTCTCATGCCTAAAATTGTGTACGGAGGTGTGATTATGCACGGAGGTGTGCCTGAGGTCTTCCACCATTCGCCATATGATGTGTCGATATGACTTAAAACGAAACAAAACAAACATAAAAAGAGCGTTTTAGTAGCAGTCAGGTCTTAATTCCTGGGAAGTCTTAAATAGTGTTTCTTCTGTACACACATTTATTCTTACGTTAAAGGGTTAATAGTTATTTGAACATGATGAATTTCATAAATGCGTATATAACTTCTTTTCTATTTTGATATGTATTGGTTATTGTTTATTAACACATATTTTAACATTAATTTAACATTTACTGTTTATTTCGTTCGACTTAACATACGCCAGGTTTTGTGGGTTTTTTTCCAAAGTACTTTTTAATAAAAGGCAATACAATGCATACAAAAGTGACCTTAATATCAACTGAATGAAGGGAAATGTTTTCATTTATTTTATGCTTTTCAGTGAATTACTGATTATCTGTGAAAATTATATTTGATAATTTCTCAGTGAAAATTATCAAATTATAATTTAACACTTTTCAATGATGAGACTTCTTTTTAAGATTTCCCCATGTGGTGAGGTACCACATAATTTTATTATTGTTGACAATTCTGACATTGTCAGGGCTGTTTCAAAAAAAGCAAAGCAAAGGTAATAAAAAGAAGAAAACTTACTTCAAATCATTCAAATTACCAATCACCAAATATCGTCTCTAAATTTTTTGTTTCATTTTTATAGTCTGAAAAATACAATATTGCACACATGCAAAACTGCTCTTGGTGACATTTGGGCATATTTAAGTATCTTACGAGCAATAACTCCCTAATAACTCGAAAAGCAATGACAGACATCAGCCCGAAGTACATGTACATGTATAAGTAAACAACCCAGCGTTCATAAGGCAGCCTTACAAAAATCCAATTTTTTCCAATTTCTTAGCCGTTTTTGAATGTTTACACATCTGTCAACATTTATTTATTGTCTGTAACAATCCTCGAATAAGTTTTCTTTCTTCTTAAAAAGATGTATGACTAACAAATCCAAATGATATTCCTCTGAATCAAACACAATTATTTTCCTCCCGTGAAATACACAGCTTTCAAAAATGGCGGCTGCTTACATTTCACAGAGCCCGGTCTAATATAAATTCGCCGTAAGTAACAGAAATAAGGAAAGATGGTTTGACCTTTTCTCCTACTAGAATTGTTTGTTTTTATTATTAAAACAAGCGATCATTCATATTTTTTGAATAAAAAGAATAATATCATTGCCATTTAACGTTGATTGTCGAACTTATTTGTCAGCCCAAGTATTCATGAATTTTATGAGAAATTCGACTGAAAGAGGCTACCAGTGGGGAAAACAGATTTTAATATTGAAGTTAATATTAAGGAAATTTCATTTAAACTTGTTTTAAGCATAAAATAAAAAGAAAAGTTGTTTGTTTGTTGTGTAAGATGTAATTTTATTTCATCTCGTGAACTTTAAAAACAATATTCTCACTCGTGGCTACGCCTCTCGATAGAATACTGTTTTTAAAGCTCACTCACTGAAATAAAATTTCAACTTACACACAAACAAGCAAATATCCATATATAATTCTTTAATTACTTTACAATACTAGAAAGGTAATATATATATATATATATATATATATATATATACAATTAATACACATAATGACATCATATCTTTAACTTATTAAAAGGAACCGATGTCGTGAAGCAATTTAAAGAAAGTGCAATGGGCGACTATCTTGATCTTATGAAAAGTTTCGAAATAAAAAAGAGATCTAAACCTCCTAGACAAGGCGTACAAAGAGTGATGATAAAGATTCCAGCCACATTAAGAACTATGATTAGAATTGCCGAGACAAGATACAGGGACGGTACAAGTACTGTTGGTGACAAGCTGAGATTCAGTATTGAGATAATGAATTCGTTTTTCAAAGAATCTATGGAAAAAATCGTTGGACACCTTAAAGAACTTTTTATAAAACCAAATGTTGACGCATGCGATGTCATACTTATGGTCGGTGGGTATTCCGAATCGTACCTTTTGCAAGAAAAGATAAAATCTAATTTCCCATCGAAGAAGGTTGTTACCCCCAATGAGGCGGGTCTAGCTGTACTGAAGGGTGCTGTTATGTTTGGCCACAATCCGGCGCTTATTGCCGAGAGGAAGATGAAATTTACGTATGGAAACGAAACATTCCCTGGATTGTTTCATGCCCATGTTCGAGAGGGAGACACAGTCAAACTTGGCGAAGAGCAGCCAGAACAAATTTTTCACCCAGTTTTTCCATCCCAAACTAAAGCTGAAGTGAACATCTTTTGCACTAAAGATCGAAATCCTGTTCGTGTGGCTGATGAAGGCTGTATCAAATTGGGAACAGTAACCGTACCAATGCCTGATACGACAGGTGGCTGCAATCGTAAAGTCGGTGTAAGTTTTCTTTTCGGGGGAACAGAAATTGAAGTTAAGGTAAGAAATAAAGACAAAGGAACAGAGCAAAAAGTCATGATATCTTACTGTTGACTGAAATTATGATGTTGAATAGCATTAACATTTTACATTGTTACCATTATAACAAATGCAGATTACGATTTTTATAGGACACTTTTCATACTGGATGGCCTAAATTTATCAATGCCTCTTACAAGATGCTAGTAAATATCAACCTTTATAAACGGAAGTTTTTTAGAAACCGCGTTAATGAAATAAGTCATTTCCTTTTGTTTCAATTATTATCATTATTATGATTATGTTGATTGGTCATTTGTAATGTTCTGTCAATAATATGTAAATTGAGAATAATCTTATTGAGATAAAGATTGATGTAACAATTTTCATGTTTTTGATAGAATGTTAGTGTAATGTAGTTGTTGTTTTGTTCATTTTTATTTAGATATGATTTTTTGTCGCAAAAGATGTTTTATTTTAAAGCTTAAAGAGATAAATGTTGCCAACAGTATATAGTGTGGTCACACTACACAGTGTTTATTTGCCATAATCTATACTTTTCCTATAAAGCGTCTTCGTGATTAAATGATTAACAAGTACTAGTTGCTTTGATATGTTATATATGTTAGAAAAGCTTGTTTTATTTTCAAGTTCTTACGTCGACGCTACATGTAAAATATTCATTTTAATTCCATCTTTTTATGTTCATTATTATTCACTTACCTTGATAATGTATACATGTTTATTATATACTTACAAATGGAATATTGAGAAATATTAATAAAACAAATGCGTATTTTCATTTGACGTATTTTCACTGGTATCAAATTGTGATGTCTAAAAAGAGAAAAGTGTATATTATAAACTGAAAAATCAAAGTTTTTTTTTATAAATACAAGGTTTATGTTCATCTTGTGGTATGAAAATTATCATATTTCACTCGTAGCTATCGCATGTTTATTTTCAAACCACTTGATGAAAATTAATCCTGCGTTTATAGAACAAAAGTGATTATCCTCTTATATATACGTATTTTAACCACTGAAGTTTTAACATTTATGACATCGTTTTCATTTATTCATTCGGTAAAGATGTTTGAATATTGATGTCTTTCTTCTAACGTTTATCTAACTTATTGCATGAACACATTGAGTAGTGAATGACATTTTTATATGTACATAGGTTACTAGAAATATGCTATATCTGTAGATAATTTTTTTATAAAGCGACAATATTTTGCAATATTTCCTGTTGACGTCTTTTTTTATTCTTTTTTTTTATTTCGTTCTTTGTCATAGGTTGTATATGGTAGATGCACCTATTATCCACGCCATAATTGCTTTTGAATAATATTCGAATTTGTCTCAATATAGATTTAAATATCTGTCATTAAATTTTGAAAAATAATATATTTATAATATATTTTGAAACAAATATCGCTGCAATAAAAGGACAGATGTATTCTGATATTTGGACAATTTTTACAGAATCATTCAACTCAAAAATATTGACCAAACCAAAACAAATGTTCTTTACAACTGCGAATTACTCTTTTTCTCAAATAGGTAAAATATAAATTTTCAAGTATATGTTGTTTTGCTCAGAAAGGAATATTTGATTGAAATCATAAACTGGTCCTATGTTTTGACTTGAATTAAATAATGGCTCTACCTAAATGTCATAAAGGGACTCTACTTAAATTGCATAATGGCTCCGGAAATAACATCTGGAAGAATATCTTTAGTATTCTCTTTTATATCTTATGCGATTTTTTGTACGTTTGACATTGTGTATGCATCTGTCACCTATCATTCCGTATGCTTCTTATACTTTAGGATTTGTTTTATTTTTGTGAAATGTGATTTTAGAGAATTGTAATATTCAGATAATCATTATTTGTAACTGTGTGTGTGTATCTGGAAATAAAAGGAAGATTCATTCCAAAACATTTTTGTTAGTTTTTCATAATATTTTTTTTATAACATCTTCCTTTGTATGGACACTAAGTTACAAACGGATTGTTTTGATCTTTTGTATGTTCATGTCATGCCTGACAAGCGTTGTCATTTGATATAAAATTTTATGAAACTCATCGGGAGAAAATGATATTTAGCTGGTCCATTGCACAGATGAAAACTTATGTCAAAGTCATACCTATCTCGAATATCTGCACAATCTCCATTCTTATTTAAAAACTATATGTGAAAACGTGGAATATGAATGATGCACGAGAAATGCACCAACTTTCATCCTGAAATGTTTTCGTTTCGAAAGAATATGATTCTTGATTCCTGTAAGTATATCTTGTCTAATGACATGAAACCAGCTTTAGGACTAAATTAAGACCGTTTCAATAAACATTTTATCTTCAGTCAAATACTATAGACTTTACATAAATTAATTCTCATGAGAAAAGTTAAGAAAAACAAACACATACCCTTATTCTCAATGTGTAAATGCCCATCAGCATTGCTATTCAGAAATTGAAAAGAGTCATAACATAGGAGTCATAAGTTAGGACATTTTCTTTGAAACGCAAAAATTGTCTCAGTTTTTGTCTTAAGACTGATTTCAGACTTAGGACTTTCTATGAAACGAAGCCCTAGAGTACTTTAACATGGTATTAATGTAAAGAATAAAAACCCTTTGCCGGATAATATATTATGTCTTCGGGTGGCAGATGCAAGGCTTCATGCCAATAACTTGCTTTCCACCTTTGGTATTTTACAAAAGAGTGTTTTAATAAGTATAAAAGAAATAGGTTTCACATTCATAACAGTCGCCTTCGATTAAGATGTGAATTAAAGCCCATAGCCCTTTTTTAAGCCAATTATTGTTTTGAGTGAAACTGCTTAATGCAGTTTGAATTATTAAGTTGTCCTACCTGTCTGCATACGTTTTTATTGTTTGAGTAGTTCGAACTCAAGGAAAACCTAAGAAACAACATTGTGTTGGTCATTTCAAAAGTTGCCAGGTGCCCATTGAGTTCAAATGAAAAACGACACAGCGTTCTTTTGTTCAAGAAAAAATCTTTTAATTGGTAAATGTTTAGTAAAGAAGTATAACATTAAAGTTACATGATTATGGTTGCCAATAGTTATATCATTTGCGTCTGGAGAAAAATAAATATACCAATATACTCACCGTTTCAATATTAAGACTTGTGTCACTGACTAAATTACTCCTTCTGTCGAGATGAATCTAATGTGTTTAATGTATAGTGTTTAAGAATATGTTCTTGTTAGGCGTACATCCCACGCTAAAATATTGCAGTACGATGTAAAATTAATGAGCTCCAATTGTCTTCATGTTTCATAAATATGATGGTAATTCATTTACGTGCCGACAGATTATGGCAACGTTTTAACTTTTTAAATTGGCTTTGTATTTGACATGAAAGATCAGATCCATACAAAACATTAATTGCGTCACGTTCACCTTTATATTTCTTGTTATACCTTCATTTGTGATCTACCCATTGTTTTTATTCCGTTGCAATCTGACTTTTGTAATAGCTTGAAATATCTTTTAACGGCCATACCTGATAAGGCATTTGTAGCCCGATTAACCCTTTACCTCATATATACGCGAAACAACGCACTTGCCCCCCCCCCACATCCAAAAGATACATCAGGGGGTTGCCAGAAGGGGGATGTGCCCACTTCTGTTTGGGGGGTTTGAAGGGAGGCGGTAGTCCCCCTCATCGCCAAGAAAATTTTGGACTTGTGAGAGGCTAAAAATGACCCCAGGTCGATCATAAGGTAACGTGTAACCAACGCTGAAAAGCCTTTGACTCTATCTCTATCCCTTGAGAAGTTGCAGCACTTTGAAATAAATTTTGATGGAAAACATCGAGGCAAATAAGTGATTTTTGGCAATTTTGAGACCTCCCCTCGTTGCCATGGTAACAGGAAATTTAAGACTGAGCATGCCGTTACAAAGGAAAATGGTCCTGTCAACATTTGTGCCAAGTTTGATTAGTATTAAAGCAATTTTCATAGTTTCATAGCAGTTTGAACTTGTAACAGGAGGATTTTCAATGAAAACGGCCATTTTTCACAATATACTCATGAGGGAAAGGGTTAACTAAAAAAATTAAAAATGTTACAAAACATCAATTTTTCACCAAAATTAGGTGAAAGACCACATCTTAACATGAAAAAAATAGATTTTTGGTAATTCCAAAGTTTTTCATCATTTTTTGTTAACCATTTACCTCATATATACGCGAAACAACGCACTTTCGACCCCACCCCCTCTTTTAGGCCTCAAATAGTGAAAAAATGTCATATTTGGCCCCCAAACACATATTTTCGTTTCAGAAATGTTGCTAAAAATAGTGAGCACTTTTTCGGCGTCGCCCCCCCCCCCCCATCCAAAAGATACATCATGGGGTTGCCAGAAGGGGGATGTGGCCCCTACTGTTTCGGTGGGGGAGGGTTGAAGGGGGCGGTAGCCTCCCCTCATCGCCAAGAAAATCTTGGACTTGTGAGAGGCTAAAAATGACCCCAGGTCGATCATAAGGTAACCAACGCTGAAAAGCCTTTGACTCTATCTCAATCCCTTGAGAAGTTGCAGCACTGAAATAAATTTTGATGGAAAACATCGAGGCAAATTAGTGATTTTCGGCAATTTTGAGACCTCCCCTTGTTGCCATGCTAACAGGAAATTTAAGAGTGAGCATGTCGTTACAAAGACAATGGTCCAGTTAACATTTGTGCCAAGTTTGATTAGTATTGAAACATTTTTCATAGTTTCATATCAGTTTGAACTTGTAACAGGAGACTTTTAAATGAAAACGGCCGTTTTTCACAATATACTCATGAGGGAAAGTGTTAAGAAACATGGCCGTAAGAGTCCAGTATGGCATGGCCGTTAGCCGATTCGGCGGTTTGCTCGTCTGTATAGTAATTGTCGTAAAAAGCACCATTTTTTAGAAAAAAAATGAGATCTACCCATTGCCCCGATTTCGTAGCGAATTCGCTATTGCAAATCTTGGAATTTTACTTTAACATCAATATAAGGCACCACTTGGCGCTCGCCCAAGAAATCATGACCGTCGGATGCCCGGTGTGCTTTTTTCTATTAATTAATGTTATTCTCGTAAAAGGCACCATTTCCGAAAAAAAATACGTGATCTCTACATTTGTCCAATTTCGTTGCAGATTTGCCATTGCAGTAACTTAAAATCTCTCTTTGACGACAATAAAAGGCAATTGACTCTCGTCCAAGAAACACGGCCGTCAGGGGCCAGTATGGAATTGGTTTAAATCGTTTCGGCGATGTGCCCAATTTCTATACGAATTCAAGTGTAACTGCCACGTGCCCGGATGATAGCCTCAACCCTTCTCTCCTCACAATGAGCGTCAATTTGGTAGGCAGTTGGTAGTTGGATATTCGAATAACCATGCAACTACCT